ATATTTATGTTTGTGGTTGTAATGTGACAAAATATGGAAAAGTTCAAGGGGTATGAATACTTTTGCAAACCACTGTATATATATAGTAATGAGATTTTGTGAAAAGTTTATCTTATCGGTTGTGGACAGTTTTTTAAACTACCTCATTTAGGACAAAGAGGCTGAGTGTTAACCAGATTGACGAGCTAACGGCTAGTCTAAGCAGGACCAAGAACAAAGGACTGTTTTCAAACAACTCCCATCTCAAAAAAATTAAAGCATTTAATACAAACTCTATTTTACATACTTGAACGCTACAAATATGTTTACATTACACAATTATTTTCATACAAAAGTAGTTATTTGTAAGAACAAAAAGCCACAGCAGCGCCTAGCTGTAGCACTTTTGATGCAACCAAGGCATCTCTTACTGGAATATCCTAATTTTTCTGTCAATATAAACAGAGATTGTGTTCCTGATGGCGATGTAGAGGTTTATAAAATAGCCATATTTTTCTAAACTGAGGTTGTTCAAAGAGCAGGAAAGATATTAGTTGTTCATAACCATCCCATATAACCAAACTTCTACAAGTCCAAGCTATCACTTAAAATTAAAAAGTAGTAGTAGCTATATGGAGCCTCCCTTTACTCTTTTATTATGAATAGGAACTTGTGTTGCTTATTAGCTTTGCTTTCACTTACAGCAGGTTTTTCAACTTGTCGAGACAAAAAACGTTACTTTTCTATTTCACTTTGACTGTCACTGCTGCACCTTTCTCACCCCATCCGGAGTATGTGCCCATGTGGAGCTCTCTGAATGTGCAGTGAGACGGTGTCATCCAGGTTACCGAAGTATTTGCTCTACATTATGGGAAAGGGCAGCCCTGTTGTTTACTTGTCTGCCTGTAATGTTGCACAGAGGGTTGATCAGGCGAGTTGATAGGAGCTGCAATTTAAAAAGAGGACACTGCAGCTCTGAACAAAAACAATTAAAGGAAAATGAAAGACGGCCCCCAAGGGTTAAAAATAGAAAATTATCAACATGCACGCTGGATTCCACTATCCCCCCCCCCCTCCACCTCACACACATACACACACCACCTCCTGCACCAGCACCCACCCACTCCCCTCAAACTTACTGGGCCTGCATTGTTATGTACGATCAGATCTGCCAGTTCTTCCTCTAAGCTCCTTGTCACATTTTGACTTAATGAAGTGCAACTTAGAAGGGAATTGGGTTCATCATGCTAGTCGCACGATGCTCCCTTGTTGTAGCAAACAGGAGTGGCATGGGACCGAAGCGCTACAGCGCGAGTCGTTATCATTCCGGTCAGTCTGTTTAACACAAAATTAAACAAAGAACTAATTAGTGCCTCATGAATTAATAACTGCACTGTTGCTGAGAAGAAGTTCGGTTGCTGAGGGGAGATATAAAATAAGTAGGAAGATCAGGTTAGAATTATTATGACTTTTTCGGCGGCGCGTGTGCTCTCAAGGTTAGGAAACTTTTCCGAGGATTTAATTCGGAGTCTGTCCTGGTACAGGACTAAAACTTTCTCTGCATTTGTCTGTTTGGATTGTAAGGGGGGGAAAAAATTGTAAGCCTTTCGCTTTAGTTTTCTGTCTTGATATATTGTTGCTCATTACCTGTTCTGAGCTTCTTGTCGTAGCAGTTTTGAAGTCTTTGCATCCCCTTTTTGAAAGTTTTTCTCTAAAGGTTACTCTTACTCTCTAAAGGTTTCTTAGACAGGAAGACGCAGGAAGCTTCTGTTCAAATGTGCTCTGAAAACTGACTTAAAAGATCACAGTGAATTAATTCTTAGAAACAAAAAAAAAAAAAAAGAAAAAAGAAAAAAGGCATAGTCCTGTTGCTCCTATCAAAGACCTTTAGAAACTGTAGTCTCTTCTCTCAGTCATCATCTGTCCCCTCCAGCTGGGATGTGTGGCCCGTCTTTATCTTCACACTTTTCTTCTGCGTATGAAAAGGACAGGAGCGAACGAAAACACTCGTCTTTTTATTTCCGGTCAATACATTATCTTAGCTTTTACACAGCGGATTAGATGAGTCACGTAAACGCAAAAAAAGATTTGTCAGGAATCTTTATGTCGATACAAAAATGGTACATTAAAACCAATTTCTGTGCAGGTTTTTTTAAAACGTTTTTTTTTTTCCTTTGGTCTTTATTCTCAGATGAGGTGAGCTCCGCCGTACGGACTGACTCCCCAGGAAGAGAAAACGAGGTAGGGCAAATCCACAACATGACTGATTACTGTCCCCACCATCTCCCCTGTTCATATCTCCAACAATATCAGGCATCTTCATTAATCCCCGCGGATCAATGTGTCTGGGGGTTGTAAAAATTGACAAATGACTTATTAGAATCCCACCGTTTTATTTTCCAACTGATTAACTCACAGCAACGTTGTACACTATACAGGCTCACTGATGTATCTGTTTTCCAAAGACGTCCACCCCCCCCACACACACACCCTCCCACCCTCACCCCTTCTCTCTGTGTATCTGTCTTACTGTGAGGGATCTGTGCAGAATGAAATGCATAACACTGCCAGGCTCCAACAGCTCAAAACTACATGAACAATAAGGCAGTTTGGACATATAAAAAATGGCCATTTACATTTCCTGACTGTGGGGCACAGCTTGGGTTGACTTGCAATACTTTAAATACAAATAACACATCAACAAACACAAAAGCGATCCTTTAGAAAACTGGAGCTGCCACGCAGTGGAAGTAATGAATCGTATTTTGTCAAACGTGGTGTCTCGGTTTTACAAGCCCGTGTGCCAAGTTCTAATTCTCTGGGTTTCGCTGTTCTGTTAATTGTATCTTGATCTTTTATTCCTGCTTTATGTCAGGATGTTGTTGCAGCTTCATCCCACATTCTCATCTTGACAAAATAATATCATTTTTCCACTATGTGGCATTTATTACTGCAAGACATTAGACACAGACATCTAAGTACCAATGACATCCGCCAAATTAACAAGAGTATAAAACCTTTTGTTGCTGAAAAAAAACCTGCCTCTGTACAATTTGACTCTCGAGAGGACACTAATGACTTGTGACTTGGAGAAACTGGGTTGCTTTTTTTTCCCCTCCTCTCTTCGTGAGATGAAACCTTCTGTGCTAATGATGTTAGCTGGTATGAGCACAATGCTGATGTGGGAGTCTGTCATGAGGATGCACACAACAGCCCTTGCCCCTGGCCTCCTATAGTCAAGAGGGATTCAAACATTCAGATGTGACAGTCTGGGCTGTCTCATGTCAAACCAGAGACCCTCGCTATCACTGGGAGGTGGGACGGCCGTGAATCGAAGCTCCTTTTTGTTTCTGCTGGTGTCACTCACACCCCAGAAAGAAGACACACTCCGTGCATCAATCAGCGCTCCAGATTCAGGCCCGGCGAAACTTCCTGCAGCGTGATGACGACACCTTTCACAGATTCCCTCTCAGATGGAGTAACTAGTAACAACGACAGGGTCGAGTCAGCGATGTGACGTGTCCTCCTATATGAGCGCTCACACAAAAGATCGTTGTGAACAAGTTTCTGAAGCAAACTTAAAGCAGCAGTTCAGATCTGTTGACGTGGGGGTTCTGAATAACCAATTTACTGACTTTGAACAATGGAAGAGAGTTCAATTCTGACCATTTTGATGAGCTAATGGCTAGTGTGAGTGAAGTAAAATGCTTCTATCTCAAATGAACTTGGATGTCGTAAACTTTACACTGGCAGAAATATTAATTTCCAGGCTCATATTTCAACTCTATACCACAATCAAGTAACTAAATGCTGTATATATCAAAATATAAATTTGACTTTGCATCATATTCTTAAAATTGTCCTCCGTCTCTTTAAGAACCTCCTGTCATTTATGACCAGGGTTCCCAAAGATCCTTAAAAAGTCTTAAAAGGCAATGAATTTGTCAATCCAAAAATAAGGACTTGATTAGCCTTTAAAATGTCTTAAATTGATATTTTGAGGTCCTAAAAATGTTAACACATTTTAAGTAGGCTGGTTGTAAATTGTCTCAAATATTAAAATAATTGGTAGCGTTTATGTTATTTTTTTTATAATTTACAGAATTTTTCTCATAGCTATTTGTTCTGTGTTAAAATAAACATTCAAGTAAAATTGTCACCGTTTTTTTTCCGCATTTTTATTTATTGTGAAATAGGTCTTAAATTTCGTTTCAAGTGGCATTAAAGAGGTCTTAAAAAGTCTTAAATATAACTCCTTAAACTGTAGGAACCCTGATGACACTCCCACTTCAACACATCTTCACAACAATGCTTCGGGGGAGGGGTACTCTGTGGGGCAGGAGCTGGGCTGCAGACTGAGTTCCAGGAAGGAGCTATGTACAAATAGGCGGTGCTTTGTACCAGCAAGAGTTTAGGCAGCTCCACAGGAGAATCAAGGATTTCTCAAACATGCATGAATGAGTGAAAGCAACACTCTGGGCATGTTTTTGATGAGGGAATGACATTATAACATGGTATAAAAAAGTTGATTTTGCATTATACCCTTACCCCTTTAAGTTATTTGCAATTGCAAATAGTGGCAGCAGCAGCTAGCCCTAACATTTCTGGTGCAGCCTGGAGCACTTCTGATGAGAATATCTGAGTATTTCTTCCAGAAAACTCATATAATGCTGAGCTCACAGTGGTAGAAGCTACTAAAAATGTTTGAGTTATTAGAAGATGGCAACAATTCTTTGGTCTAAAGCCAGGTTTATGGTTGACTCGTTGAATAACAGTGACTCAATCAAGCCGCTCGTGTGTTGGCTCCATGTGGTGTAGCGGCGCCGGGTTGTGCACCTCCAAAATTTTGTAAATCTGTATGGGCTACGCAGTCTATTCAAAAAGTTTGTTTGTCCATTCAGGATTTCCTCTCTCTTTTTACAACATTTCACAAGTTTTTAAGTGTACTGCCACATGTCTTCATGGAGTATACTGCACCAATGTAAGCATCAAGTATAAATGCCTTACACCACTTGCTCTGGCTGACATTCAAAACAACGATTATAGCCAAGTCTTTAGACTTCGCCCAGACTGGCCATCAGCTTTTTTCTCATGCCAGAATGAAACTCCATTCCTTTTTATTCAAAGAGCCATCTCCAACAGGTAAGATACTGATTGCTCATAGCCTCCCCCCCCACTTTAGAAGATCTGAACTGTTGCTTTAAATGAGATTCAACACGAGTGCAGAGTAATACTCCTTGTCTAACCACAAAACAACAACATAACTGAGCACAGTTAGTTTAATTGGCTTTTGTTGTGTGTTAATGAAACTAATCATGAAGGCCAACTGGCTCTAATACATGCCTGCTATGACACACACACCCCACCCCCCTTGTGGCTCCCACTGACTTTTCTAAAAGATGGAGTTCCTCTCTTAGACAGCACATGAAAAAAAAATCAAACCACCAAAATGGTTTTCATTGGTTAGAGTGATAATCTCTGGGGACTTCAAGGCTTTTAATTGAGCTCACGGAGAAGAAATTTGTATGACTGCTTGCCAACAACATTGGTGTCTCCTTTTTACTTCTCCCTGATCTCGGTGAAAGATCTGGCAGCTTGTGTATTATTAGTAAACGAAATAACGATCAGCCTGACAATTTATATGTGTTCTGAAGCCTTCAACTTGTAGATCTTTATAAAAAAAAGCATCAAGTAAATTTGATAAGAAGCACTCATTTTTTGTTTCTTTAGCGTTTTATTACTTTCTTAGAATTTATGCAAAGAAGGTCAGTGATGTAGTAAGCCAGAGTTCATTCAGTCGTGCATGAAAGCAAATAAAGCCACAGTCCGCCGCGGGAAAAATAACTTTTTTCTAAGAAAAAAAGCATCAACTCCTGAGATTCAGTTCAGTATTACTGTGTCAGTCAGGTTGTTCAGTCACAAATATGAGCCGTTCTGATTTTCTGCCCCTTTTTCCCCCATCTCCTCCACTTATTTTGTCGTTTAGATTTTCTCAGTGAAAAGCAGGGGCTACATGGAAACGGCAGCCCTGTGTAAATATTTATGATGTAACATCTCCATGTGAATAGACTTTCTTCCCAATCCATCCATCATTACCGGCATATCATGAAAGCCCACCTCCCGGCGGTGGCTCAGGGCCTTTAGGAAGCTCAGACAGGAGTGGCGTGTCCCCCTCTCATTCAAAGTATTTGTTTTTCTTTTGACTGGGGGCAGCCCAGCTGTGAGGGCATTTCATGTGTCAGCCGCTCCACTTTCATTCCTGGCTGACTTCAAAGCTTGTTTCAGCCTTTTGTTTCTGTGACGTGGCCGCTGGACCTGAAAATGCCCAAACAGAAAAATGTGTTGTAGGTCAATTTACAGAGTTGTGCCCGTGGAAAAAAAAAAGAAAAAAGAAGAAAGGATTATTTTTTATCAAAACATAAAACCCTGGTTACTGCCTAACCAGTCCTTCTGTACATGTTGTCTACATATTTATTTATCAGACCGTGGAGAAGAATGAAACTTGGAAATCATAGAATAAAAAGGGTACAAGGAAATAAAATATCACCTGCTGCTGAGAGGTGAAGGCAAATGATCGTGTTTTTGCCTGTGTTTATGTGTCTGTTAGCAAAATATCTCATAAAACACTAAACATTTTTTATGAAACTTACAGAAAGTAGTTAGTGTATTAACAACTAAAAATGATTACCTTTTGGAGTCAGCTTGATTGAAGTTGGCTATCACAGCTAACCAACTTTAAAAAAAAACACAAAATTGCTCAAACTTAGTCAGTTTTGCAGATAATGAATTCAAATTTTATGATGTAGTAGCAGTGATTGACCCACATAACCTGTTTTGAGTACTAACAGATTGTATAAGATTTAGTTTAAAATTTTCCCATTAACTATTTTGAGTCAATTTTGCATGTCTGTTAGCAAAATATCCCATGAACCACTGAGTAATTTTTTATAAAACCTTCAGGATATAATCATTGCATATATCACTATGACTGATTAACCTTTAGCGCCAACCTAATTCAAGATGACCACTACAGCCCACTCACTTTACAAAACACAGAAATGGCTATAATTCAGTCCGTTTTACAGAAAATGGGCTGAAATTTAGTGTGGTTGTAATTAAGGGTCATTCACGTCTTGTACTGAGCTACTCACTGCGCAAGATCTTTGCTGCAAACTTTAACATTAACTGTTGGAGTCCACGCTCTGTGTTAGCAAAATATCTCCAAGTCAAACTGTCAAATT